TTCACATCAGGTGAACATGGTGAGTACTTCGCAACAACTTCATGCTCACGGACGTGCAGCTTTCACAGATCAGATCACGCACGGATGCGCGCGTTTAGGAATCAGGCGATGCAACTCGAGCTGCGGCCATGGACTTTTTCAAGCTTAGCAGCGAGGCCCGCGAAGCTTTGGGACTGCGTACAAGCAGCGTGCAAGCAGGTGGAAGGGAGGAGAAACGAATAGTTACTGCTAGGTATGTGAGACTCTGAGACCATCCGCTGCAACGGGAGGCCTGCAGAGCTACGACGTCCGCGTGCTCTGACTGCAAGGTGCGTGGGAATCTCGTGGGTTGCCGTGTAGCTGTGTGACCCATAGCCCAGAGCGGCTTGCAGTCTTCAATTTGAGTTCCTGGGTGCCTCAGGCTTTTGTGGCTTTAGCAATTTAGTATGTAGTCGTCGGATAGTCCCAAGCTGGTTCCATGCAGTTCCGAAGAGCAGCCACTTGTTGTCCCAGTGCGGGGCGTTTGCCACCTTGCAGGAGAACGATGAACTCCTGACCTCAGACCTGGCCTCAGCCATTCAGTCGGCAGAGCGCATCTCGTGGCACGTGGTCCTTACCAGCTGCTGCAGAGTCCGAGCGCTTTGCCCTAGCAGTCTGGCATGTGGTTGATCATGGATGTGTCGAATGTCGAAGCAGTACATACAATGCCATTGCCTGCGACTAACCCGTTTAACTGTAGAGCTGTGTGGGGCCGAAGGCCCCTGTCATCGGCCTGCCTCATGAAAGGCGATTGTTGAAAAGATGGAGATGGCCGGGGCCTTTGCATGCATACGCAACCAAGCTTTGCAAGACCTGGTTGGCAATTGCGGGGGTGTCAGTCTGTTCAACCGGCTTGAAATGTGTGAGCTTGAGACTACGGAGTAGAAAATTCAGCGAAACGGAGGCGCATCTTGCAGAGCATGACTTTGAGGCAGGATTCTTCGTTACCGTTATATACCTGTACGAAGATTCAATAGAACTGCTGCTTGCGACATGTTCAGGTGGAGAGCCCATCTTCGACCAACCCAGGTCTCCCCAGCCCAGCGAGCGTCTATGTGTGGAGTTTAGAGTCGATTTTTCCAGGCGCTCTCTTCCGCAGGTTGCAGGCACCCGCCATGCACAGCCTCTTGCGTGGAAAAAGCATGGGAGCTGTCTCTTTGTGTGTGTGGGCTGCCTTCCTGGACAGGTGCCGCCTGAGTTTGACGGCGCGCAGACGAAGGTCCTTCAGGCCCATGCAGTGCAGTGCTTTTGACTGGAGCTGATGTATAGACTTCTTCGCGGCGGAGTGCAGCTCCTACCAGCACGAGAGTTTTCGGCTGGCGTTGTTGGCAGCTTTTGCTAGAAAGATCTGAAAGTCGGATCGAAACATTCAGACGTGGCATTCCAGGCAGTGAGCGGCAACTACTCGCCGTCATCGGCACGAGTGCCTGGGCTGGCATCCCCAGTAAGACGTTTTCATGTACAGTAATATGCTATGCTGGCTTCAGAAGTCAAAACTTGAGATACTGTATGCAAATCCAGTTTCTCCTCCCGGTCTGAGTGGTACAGTTACCAGAAGCCCATCGACGCCACCCTGTTTTCCCTGCCAGCACTATTTGATTTTGCGAGTTGGTTCTTCCAGCTCAGAACGATTTATGCAAGAATGTTTACGACAGTTACGCATGGCATGAAGGCTTGCATTCGAACATTGCCCACATGTGCAAGGGTCTGCAGGGCACTGTAGCTGTAGCTTGTTGCTCACGGTTCGAGAACTCGAAGAGTCCGAACCTGTCAGGAGAAGCACGACCAGCAGCGCTGCCTCAAGGCAGGGTCTGTGACCAAGGAGAGAAGTTCGAGGAAACCCTGGTAGAGGAAAGAAGCTTTGCGAGCAGGAGCTGTTCTGCTCCGTTAGTCATTAGTGGCACAGCAGCAAGACTGAGACAGCGAGGGGTTCGAACCCACTGAACTGGTTGCCAACATTTCTGGCGAAGGCTGGTCGACGAAGGGAAGAGTACGAGAGGAGAAGCTCACAGAAAGACTCTGACGGTAAACCCCAAAATATCCCCTTCGGTAGCTTGCTCTCTACTTGCAGTCTCCCCGCAAGAAAGAAAGACAACCGGGCGAGCGAAGGAGGGGAATGAGGGACGAGGGCAACCAGAGTGGTTGGCACAAAGATTGCGATGCAGGTCTGCGTGCAATCCTTCACCCGAGCCTTGCTTCAGGGCATCAATGTTTGCGTGACCGGCCTCAGCTGAGCTTCTTGCCGTAGGAGAGTGTCCGAGATTAGGAGTCGCCGTGCTGACCTGGCATAGGTGCTTCTAGATGATAACCGAACCCGCCTGGCGGAAGTCCGCAACCTCAGCTGGCTGCCAGTCGCCAGTAACGACGAGTCACGGTCTGGGAATAGCTCTTCGAGCACTTGGCAGTGTCCCAAGGCCCGCCTGGATTCGGACATAACCCACCTGGTCCTGCACGTTCCACATGCGCAGCATCCGGTGGCTCTGAAGTGCCCTGAGCCACAAAAAGGCTCGAGGTGGCAGGAACTGTGTTTCCATTTCAGGTATATAGATGGTATCTGTCCCCCCACGCCAACGTGGCCAACACCAAGCTTCGGAGAGGAATCCGAAATCGGGCTTTACGTAGGGTAGCCGGCTTTTCGCGCCGCAGAAGCCCTGCAGGATGGCTGCTTGCAATCGCGGGCAACGCTGACGATGAGGGGAGGGCAGGGACCTTGGCCGCCCTCGCGGCAGTGGGCAGCGCCAGCTGCAGCGCCCTGCAGCGCCAGCTCAGGCAGTTTCTGACCTTTGTCTTCGACAGCCCCAGGGCCGGCGAGTTTGTTTTCTGTGCAGCCACGTAGACACAGACTTAGCTGCATCTGCCGAATTGGCGCACGAAGGTCAGGGAGTACTTCGAAATGTGCCTCAAGGCAACCAGGGAACGGAAAGCTTGTTCGATGCGGGCCCACATGTTCATGCATGCGTTTCCAAACACCCTCCGTCCCAGGCAGCAATGAAGCCCCCTCATCATTTAAGACAATGTTTGAGCGTTCCATCCGTTTCCAGGTCCTCATCATCGCCAAAGGCGGAGAAAGGACTCCAGAGGACTTCATGCTGAATCATGCTGAGCAGACGAACATCGTGGCAGTCTCCTCCCAAATTGGAAATGCCTCTCAATTTTAGTGTGCTTCGGACCAGCGAATGTGCCACCAACTGATAGTCACAACGCGACCAAATCTGCTAGCTAGTAAAGACCAGACAGGCTTCACGATTCTTCCATGCCGACTCTGTCAAAGGTCTGACCTGTCCTGTAGCGGACCGTTGCCCGGGCCCAGCTTGAGAACAGAAACTTTCAGCCACCAAGCACAGGGAGAAGCTTGTATGAGCTCACCACGGTCATAGGGTCATATGAGTCATAGGATAACAAGACAGCCCCTCGATGTCACTCGGCAAAAGAACCACCAATGAAAAGGCTAATACACGCTAATAAACATTAATCATGCTGGTTTGCCGTTTGTGTCGCTGGAAGCCGGAAACTCCCCAATTGAGCTCGTTCCTGAGTTTCGTCTAAGATAAGACACCGCTTAAGTGTGGGTTTTCAATCTGGGGATGGCTGTCCTGTGCAAATGTTGTGGCGGCGGGAAAAGTGACGGTCGCTGTCTCGGCGGCCTCGCTGCAGCACCAAATCGTTTCCGTAGTGAGAGAAGCTGGGGTCAGGAAGGCTCGACGGCTCCTTTTTCACCTATTTTCCGAGCTGCTTGAGCAGGACACATCCAGCGGTGAAATCCTGGGTGCCTCCCTTGACAAGGACTCCAAGGTGGGCAACGAAGACGGGGCCCCTGCATGTTTCAAGCTCAATGCGCGCACATGGTTCTTAGACTAACACTCAACCGCAATGGAAAACACAGTCTCTTCAAGTGGTTCAGCACGTTCATGTTGCACAACACCCAGCATTGTAGACCTTATCTAAGCTAGCTAGACTCCAGACAGCTTCAACTTCGCATCCTGTCGCAACGAAAGAAGCAGCTACCAAGGCAGAAGCAGAAAACAGCCAGGTTCAGTTCTCGAAGTTTGGCTCGCATGATTGCACACAATCCCTTTGTGTGTCGCGTGAGGTGGAAATCTCCTCTTGTTGAGTGAGCTGTGTGCTACTCGTCGTCAGGGCAAGCAAGAAAATGGAGTGCTGAGGATATGCAAGGTTGTTGGATGCACTTGTCATAGACAGCGAGTATGTTTGTCAATTGCGTGAGGGAGAGAGATGCTTGAAGCAAAAAAGCATTCAGGGATTGTTTGGCTGTATCTGCTGTGAGGAGCTCGCGCTGTGAGCCTAAGGTCTCATCCTTCTTTTTCTTACATCCCTTTACTCTTCAGCAGTCTTGCCTCCAACTCGAAGCAGTACATGTGGGAGGGACTGGAGTCTTCCGGAGCCGCATGTATTCAGCACAGGAGCAGGAGCTTTCACACCAGAAACCAGAAGGGTTTTTTGACTGATGATTTCTCGGTTGGCCCAAGCTCCCGCGGTGCTTGAGCTGGCCTAGGCTTGGGCTTGGGCTGTTTTGCCTACTGGTGGAGAGCTACCAGGCTTCTTGAAGATTTTGAGCTTGCTCGCACCGGTGCTGCTGGCGGTTGAGCCGAGCATTGCTAGTGAACTTCACTCACAGTGAACATGATCACAATGCTGAATGAGAAGTCGCGCCGTGGACGAGGGCACGTGTTGCTATGGATCTTGGCATGGACTTCCGCAGTTGTTGCCTTTACTGGTAGCACGACCAAAGCAAGGAATGTGCCACCAACAGCATCATTGCGTGAGTCCGAAGCTGCAGCTTTCGGCGGAGCAGTGCAGGCTTCAGCTGCTCCACCTGTCCCAGATAATCTGACAAAGAGAGAGAGGATCGAATTCATGTTGTGGAGAGCATGGCACTCCATGGGAAACCCGCGTCCCCGATCCAAAGAAGTGAGGGAATGCATCGCCTTCTTTCGTGGATGTCAGCGTCAGCTTGGCCACAAGAAGCTTCTTGTGGATGCAGCTGGAGGACATGGTGGCATCGCGTGTGTTTTCCTCGCACACAAGAGAGCTGATCGAGTCACCTGAAACGTGCTAGAATCCGACGGTTTTTCATGCGGAAGCTAGGTATCGGTGGAATTTCAGGGTCCTTGGTTAACAAATCCCATGTGTCCTCTCTCTCGTTTTTTGGTAGATATAAGGCGATCGTGGTCGATTTGTACCAGCCGACGAGCTTTGAGAACCTGCGCTTGGCATGGGCCGAAGGGAGCGATGCCTCAGTGAAGTACCACATCGCGGACGTTTCGAGTCCGGACTGGCTGTCATCACTTCTGGACAAAGAAGCCGGAGACCTGCAGCCCAGTGAGATCGCCGTGGTTTCCTGCCACGCATGCAGTTTGCTGTCAGATGAGCTGATTCGTGCATGCACCCAAAGTCAAGTGGATTTCGCTCTCATGCCATGCTGCCATGGCGAAGATAGTCGCAAGGGCAAGATGATGTTGAACACTGCAAAGATGCTCGGCATACCGCACGACATGCTGATAGACATATCCCGCCTCGGGATAATTGAAGAAAGCTCTGGTTACAAAGCATCGATGAGATGCATTGACTCCAGCATTACACCACAAAATCGAATACTTCTTGGCCTTCGAGAATCAGAAGCAGATGCCGAAAAGCGTGAGTTGGCGCGCTCGGCGTCGCTATACCGATTGGCCAGAAAGTATCGACACATCGGCATCCCTCTCGGAAAAGGAGCCGGTAGTATGACGGTTGTCCAGGGTGTGCAGTTGAGGTGTTGTGGTGTCAGAGACCAATACCGAGTAAGCTGGTGCGTTTGTGCATTCTAGCTGTCATGCTTCCGAAGAGGAACCTGCAAGCGTATCACTGCAACACTTGGCTGGCAGCTCTTCGTTTTCATGGAAGTAGAAATATGCCGTTCCCCACCGCACACGCTACCATGCGTGTAGCGCAAAGCTTGAGGTGGGTGGCAGTACATCTTTCACGTGTCCTCTGCACATCCAACTGCAAGCTTGCCTGAGCTGGACGGGTAGGCGGAAGCTGAGACGGGCATGGTGGTAGATGCCAGCTCCAAAGCGCCTTGGTGCATGTGTCCGTACCAAGTACTGCACCCTTCGTCAAGGTCCGTCCTAGATGACATGTCATTCATGCCGCCGGATTGTTTCATCGACCGCAAGGCCTGTTGTACGCGTCTGAAGTTGTTGTATGAAGGCATCGCAGACATCAGATGATACCGAGGAGGAGCCAGCAAAACGACAGTATGCGTCGCATTTCAGCAAGTGAACTGTAGGATGACAGCATGATGATCCTTGTGACCCCAATCTCCGTCCAGGAGAATCCACCTGATGATGAGCATGAGCACAAGCGGCCAACAGCGCCGGGAGCCCGGTGTTCCTCGAGCGTAAGGCATGGAGAGCTTTTCTTACAGCAGGCCGGAAGGTGTCACCACGCAGCCCCACAGGGCAGGGCTCTCGTTGCCTTATGCATGCCGTGCAGCCATGGTTGGCAGATTTCACAATTCACACTGAGGCGGACTCCGCCTGGCAGGGTCCTCAAGTTTCGAACTGCTCCGGCAGAAGCTATGCTCAGATTACACATCGCGCGTACAGCCAGTTAGAGGAGCTGGGCAGAGTACTTTCTGGTGCCTCCGTTCCAGGCGATGCATGCATGTGCAGTAAAAACCGCGAGCTTGCCGCGAACAAATACTTAAGACCTCAAGCGGCCTGACATCGTTGACCCGTGGCAGTTTGGTGCAATGTGCGGAAACGTTAAGGAGCCCTTCTGTGCTCGAGCCTGAACAGGGCGAGCTGTGTGTTCCTGTGACACGCAGACGCCTCCTGCAGTCTGAACACAGAGGTGTTACCTTCGCGTGCACCCGCAACACGACATGGTCAGGGTGCCCAGTTCGAGCTCGTGTTCCGGCGACCTGAGTCATTTCTTCCGGAGCCATCTCTTTGTGAGGGCATTCTGCAGCAGCCTGGGTGGTGCCTTGGCTCATGAAGGCTAACTGACTGCTCGAAGGCTGAAGAAACGCCGAATCTGAGGCGCCCTTGCCGGCCGTGGCCTTGGAAGGCGCGTGCTAGCGAAGCTAGCAGCTGCTCTGCCCCCCGCGGTACGCTATGCCACGTTTTGTGTCGTACAGGACCAGCAGACCTACCAAAGTCTCAAGCCATTGCCCAGCCTTCAGTCTGCCCACAGAGACCGTGCTACATCCCAAGCGCATCGGGGTGATGCACAAGGCAATCTTGCCGCTCAAGAGACCCAGAAGGTCGGAGGGTGGCCCCTTCGAAGCCTTGGAGCCTCTCTGCTGGAAGCTTTTGACAACAGGTCGCAAACTTCCGCAGGCGCTTCCTCTCCGATGGAGGTTCGGTGGTGCAAATGCTAGACTCGACCACGTAGTGTCTCGTGCGAGCGTCCTGACATGATGTAACGACTTCTGAGCTGCATTTTCGGCTGACCCTCAGTGGCTCACAGGCACTGGGCCCATGAAACTGCATGTGCCACTGCACACATGATGGACATGGAACGTAGTAACGTAGTATAGTTCTGGAGATGGGCCTTCGCAACTAACTGGCACGTAAAGCGCACCACGGCAAACAACCTTCTCGCAATGGCCACTAGGTGGCTTTCCTGGCTCCTGCTGTTTCTAGGTGGAGTGAGCTTCGTGGGCAACTGGAAGACACCTGGACCTACCATCTCCCGAGCGCCTCGAAGGGCAGCTGAGCAGCCGCAGCTCTCCCCTCCGCCTGTGCCGGCAGACGCCAGGTGGGACTTGTGGCCAGCCCTGCCCATTGCACCTTGAGCCGGACTTCATTTGTCTGATAGGAGAGTATTTATTCTGCTCCTTTCTCTTCTGAAAGCTGGGCCACCTCACGTGAGTGTGCAGTCTAGAGAAGCACTGTGGTCTGGACGATACAAGTAGCGAATCTAAGGCGCCCTACGAAAGGCGACGTACCTTCTTGGTAGAGTACATTCCGGGAGAGCTCTGGGGCTTGGAACAGAAGCTCGGCTTGCTCTATGTTCACGTCCCCATTCGCATGACAGTCCTGCGTTTAGAGTCTGGTGGGCTCTTGGTTTATGGGGCGGTTGCCCCAACTGATGAGTGCCTGTCGCTGCTCCGCGAGCTCGAGTCCAAGTACGGGGCCGTCCGTTTCTTGGTTTTGCCGACCGTAGCCGTGGAGCACAAAACCTTTGCGGGGCCTTTGGCACAGCGGCTTCCGGATGCAGAGGTTTGGATCGCACCAGGCCAGTACTCCGTTCCTCTACCACTGCCGCTAGCCTTCTTGGGCTTTCCCCTCTTCGGTGTGCGAGAGCTGCCGCGGGACAGTGCTGGAGCCGATCTTCCATGGGGCAAGGAGCTGGAGCACACGGCCCTGGCCTCAGCTTCGTCGACTCCTGTTGCTGACATGGCGAAGAGAGCCTTTCCCCATATAGAGCACACGCCTACGCCGATGTCAAGTCTCTCAGGTCTTTGGCCCAGTGGGCAAGGACCCCTCCACCGGGGCCTTCTGCGAGGCAGCCTTTTACGTGCCGCGTTTGCGGACGCTGCTTCTCACGGACTTGCTGATCTCGATCCCTCGGGACCCACCGTTGGTGCTGAGGGAAGATCCGCGGCCTCTGCTCTTCCATGCGAGGGACGGTCCTTTGGAACCGGTGGAAACAGACGAGAGGGCACTACAGCGAGGCTGGCAACGGATCGTGATCTTCTCCCTCTTCTTCCAATCGGGTGCCATTGACGTCCAGCCCGTGGAGGAAGCTTTCCGCGACGCCCAAAAGTCTCAGGCGCCTGAGTTGGGATGGGCTGGCTTGCTTCCGTGGAACTATCGGGACGACTGGCAAGAAGCCTTCGAGGCCATAAGTGGCGGAGTGCTCGTCCCTCCCATTCTTCAGGCTCTTGTGCTAAATAGAGGAGAGCGGGACACTTCCCAGCTGCGCGAGTTTGTCGCTTTGGTCGCGGAGAGGTGGCCCTTCGAGCAGATGCTCGAACAGAGACGATACTCACACTTGTATGTGACTGTATGTGGCTTCTATGTATTGTGGCCTGCCGGATGAGTGGGTTCGGGTCCCTGTGCTCAGGATGCTCTCGCTCCACTTTGCGGGGCTGACACGCTGCACTCCGGGAGATTGGACTTCGGCCTTCCGGCGCTTCCTCGATGAGCCTACCCTTCCCTTCGCGACCTTCGGGCCACGTCCGCGCGACAAGGAGCCACGACTGCATTTCAGAAGTCAGAAATACGATGCAAGGCCATGCAAGGCAGGTGCAATGCCCGTTTGCGGGAATCGAGGACCTCGCCTTCCTCAGAGACTTCGGCTCACAGCTGCAGTCCATTGGCAACATCGAGCCTTTGTCGGAGAAGCGCCAGACCTTTTTCTAGGAAGAAAACGTCAGGTGCCAGGTCTGCCCGGGTGGATCCTTTGAGTAGCCGTGGCGGCGACCTTGCGATTTTCCTTTGGGATATTCCGTTTGATCTTAATGCTTTGCGGAACGCACAGGTGCGGCTGTACTGTTCTAAAATCTTCGTACACCCCTGATCATATCGCTGCCTGCAGAGAGTCCGTGCAGTGTGGGCCGCAAGTTTTCAGTGCCGACGGCACTCCCCGCACGCTCAACTCTTTACCCTCAGCGGTCAAAGCACTTATCTACCCTACAATACTACAGCATCGTGATGTTAGCAAATAGCTGCCTAATCATGCGTACATACGAACTTATGTATACACATACACACTTACATATACATATAGTAGCAATTATTAACATACTTACATACCATACACGCATTCATGCAGTGTATCTTTCTGTCTGTCTGTCTTTCCGCCTGTTTGTCCGTCAACCTGTCGATCTATCTTATGCTAAGTTTGTGGGGGCTTGTTGAAGGCTTTCTCTTTGGTCTTTAGGCTTCCACGCAGTTGTGCCAGAATTCATGCACATGCTTGTACAAGATGTTTGCAAGATACCTTGCAGCACAGCGTTCAGCTATGGCCTTACAGCCCTCGGTTAAAAAAGCGAGCAGCTCGTGTGCACAAAGTCCCGAGTCAATGCCATAATCAAATTCGGCTGGAACCCTTGCGAGGTTGAGCCGATACCACAGGCGACACAGGCACGACATCCTTCTTTCACGGAGAGCGAACAAGCTTGTGGTCTGTTTCTCAGGCTTCAGGCATATCTCGGCCAAAGCAGGTCCAATGCCATCAGAGCTCGCGGTGTAACTAGATTGATTGTTGATTACTTAGCGCAGGTGGAGAATCCGGCCAGTCAGCGGACATTGAAGTTTTACCCGCCGGAGCCCGAGTCAAGAATCCATTGCACAACTGGTCGGACAGTCATTACACAGCAACGCCCAATATTGAACACCAATCGCATGCCCAACAAACACTAGGTGAATAATGCTCAGATACCAATCGCACTCAACTGTTTCAACCTGACATAAGCACTAGCTACTTACGATTGAAGTTTCGTAAGAGGTGTCTGAACGAGGCCATTAAAGCTTTTGTCTTGCGAGAATTTGACCTGTGTGAGACAGAAGTATTGTACAGTTGTCTGGGTGCCACACTGCAGAAAAACACGCGTCTGTCGTGAAAGAAAGACCACACTTCACAGACAAGATGAGAATACCGAGTCGACCAACTGCTACTAGCGTATGCGAACAGCAGGCGTGCCGCGAACGATTGGTGGGTGAGATTGGTCACATGGAAGTTAAAGCACGCAAATCAGTCTGGCAACTTACTTCTAAGGCAGCCTGGTGATGATCGCTCGGCAAGCTCTGCCTGGACCCCAGCACGCCCGTTTGGCTTTCCTGGTCGGCCTTGAAACGCTTCTGGACAGGTGGACGTCATCGAGCACGGCTTTGAGGCGGGGCTGTGCCGGCATAGTTCCGAATTGCTGCCACCTTCCGAAAGGTGCTCATCGTGAGACGTGCTCCTTCACCAACCCCGAGGTCAGTGGAATCCATCCTGCGGGACTCTCATCGCTTCCGATGAAGCACCCCCTGAAGATAGGTGCCCGTCCGATGTCCTGCGACCTGTCATCGAAGATTCAGGACCCGGCCCATTGGCCATTACCTTCTGGTCGGTCTTGGAGCTTCCTCTGTGTGTTAGAAGAATTTGAGGAGATGTGCCAACTGCAACCAGTGCGCCTCGGTGCTCCAGCAGAGGCCCCTCCTCGAATCTTGTGCGCTGCCATCTAGAACGGCTTTGTGCGGGACTGTGTGTGTGTGTGTTGGCTTATCTGATGTAACCCGTGATCAGCAGGGTTTAGGGTTTACGGCCGCCCGTCAGCAGCAGGATAGGCACATGTTTAGATTTGAATGACATTCGCAGGCTCTGTTGAATGCATAGAGCTACGAGTGATGCTGTGCCCCGGAGGATCATCCGCTAGTCAAAAGCGGTTTGTTTGCGGTACGAAGAGCTACGCTTTGTATGCTAATAGACAGGGTCATGAAACTGCAATTGAACACTGTGGATGTTTCAGGGGCTGGATAGATGTTTGCATTGTGCACGACAGGGGCAGTCGTGTCGCCTCTCTGATAAGGTGCGCGTGGAACACCCATAACCCTGTATGTATGTATGTATGTATGTATGTATGTATGTATGTATGTATGTATGTGTGTATGTATGTATGTATGTATCTATGTATCTATGTATCTGCGTATCTATGTATCTATGTATCTATGTATCTATGTATCTATATCTATATGTATGTGTATGTGTATATGTATGTGTATGTGTACGCGCGCGCGTGTGTGTGTGTATGTGGTGTATGTGTTTGTGTGTATGTGTATATGTACGTATATGTATGTGTATATGTATGTGTATGTATATGTGTATGTATGTATGTATGTATGTGTGTATGTATGTATGTATGTATGTATGTATGTATGTATGGATGTATGGATCTATGGATGTCTGTCTGTTTGTCTGTCTGTCTGTCTGTCTGTCTGTCTGTCTGTCTGTCTGTCTGATGTATGTATGTATGTATGTATGTATGTATGTAAAAGCGCACGCACAGTGTCCAATTTTGTATGTACATACATGTATGTGCATATATAACTTGTACCTACATAATATCTACCTCGCTCTGTCTCTCTTTCTCTCTCTCTCGATGGCTGGATGGACGGATGGACCCACTGACGGACGGAAGGATGGATGGATTCCCCCTCCCATCTCACCCTAAACCCTAACAAAATGCATGAGTTGCTATGGCCCTGATCCAGGGCTGGAAGCCGGAGAGACTGGGAAGGCGACTGCAGTCAAGGGCACTTCCAGGGAGGTCCGCCCTGACAGGGAGCCCTTTGACCCTTACATTTGATTCTAATTCGACACGGAGCAACGCGCCGTTGCTCAGCAGTTTCACCCTAAAGCGACAACTACGAAGCAAAGTACGCATCCACTGCATGTAGCACGTTGCAGCGGCAACTAGGTCATGCCCGCCCGTTGTACATCACATGTGGCATGCCAAAGCAGCTGCAGTGGTGACCTGGCGGCATGGTGCAGCACCCTCAAATTCGAAAACATGCGCAGAGCTGGCCTGCTGAGCTCATGAGAACGCACTGCTTGAACTCTGCTAGACTGCTTCAGAACATGGATTTTTTTGTGCCGGTTATCCAGCTCAAACGATTAGCCAATCCCTTTATAGGGCAGCTCGCTTCATCTGCTTGCCCCCTCCCACGGGTCATGCCCTGAGAGAGCCGGGTATTGGCTTCCACATCCACGGTTGCCCTCGCATTGCCTCTGTCATGTGGGCGTTTGACAAAGCAGGGGGAAAGCCGCGGGCCTTGCCGGGCATGGTTGGAAGCTGAGATCTAGCTCGGGCGCAGATGGATCAGAGAAGTCCAAGCTTTTCTGAGGATCAGGGTAAGCCTGGAGTAGTGGTGAAGAACACCTTCTTGGAGGCCCGGAGTCAGCCTCAGGCTCTTGCGCCTCGCCCCGAACCTCTGCTAGGTTGGAGATCACATGCCGGCCCTGTCTGATTGGCCGGAATCTTCCGAAGTCCCTGCGCTGGCTGTGCTTCTGAGCCTCTTCTTAAGGCGCCGACAAATGTCCGAGCCAGCCGGATCTCAGCTTCTCGTGGTGCTAAACATATGAACAAAAATTGACACATAGAAGTGGCCAAGGTCAAGATCTATACAAGCCCGGCAGAGGAGGTCGGAACTCTGCATGCCTCTGTCCGCCTTCTCGCTACAGCCCCCTTGCTTGTCAGGATGCAGAGGAAGAGGCAGAGGTGCCTGCGGGTGTGGGGGCAGGGACCTGTGATGTCAATGAATTGGGATTTCTGCGTTCAATGTCCGACGACAAAATCATTTCCCTCATTCAAGGCCCTGAACTTGTCGCTTCCTAGAGCGCATCATGGTCTTGCTTTGACTGTAGCTACGCAGGCCTAGATTTCCTAAATCGTGCTTTGCATGCCCGCGTCCATCGAAGACTGGGCGCACTGCCGGCGAACTCTAAGCTGAACCCACAAACTCTGCCTGCTCTTTTCTGAGCATCAGTGGAAGGTTCCAGAGCAGATGCCACCGCTGCCCTTCGCAATGACACCGCCCTCCACGTCCTCCACACATCCTGGCCACCCAGGGCTCGCACCTCAGAGCGTGTCATGTGGAGCTTCTGAGAGACTCCGGCGAGTGGGGTAGTTTTGGGCCGGATGTGAGCTCACGGCTTAGGCCTGGGATGCCGCAAGTGATGCCCGGGGTGCCCGTGGTGATGCCTGGTGCAATGCCTGGGGCGATTCCCGGGGTGATGCCTGGAGCAATGCCGCCTGGAGCAGTGGGTCCAGCGCAGTGCTTCGAGGCACGAAGTGGTTTCTATTCTTTCAGCGTCGCAAAACGTTATGCTGGTGCCGCTATGGCCTTTCAGGCACAGCCGGCTCAGCCGATGCCACGACAGGCCTCACATAGTGTGCATGTTCCGCCTGGACTTGCCTGGAATTTGTGGACCCACGGGCAGGGCGCTCGAGAACAGGGTAGAAGGGACATTCGAAATGGCCAAGCGAGAAGCTCAGCATACTTCTTGTGCATGTGTGCAGGTGCAGACTTGTGTCATGTTGCCTTGCTGGCGGGAATCCATGAGGCCATAAATCAGTTGAAAAATAATGACATCACCAGCAAGGACGTGCCGCTTGAGACAGTTGCAGTTCGGTGGAGATTCCTTGGTTCATTCGCTCGCCAATATGCAAAAATGCCCCATGTTTGCGGACAGGAACCACCCTGGAATGATGTCACCACTGTCATGATGCGAAACTTACCAAACAAGCTGGGTGCTGACTCTGCCTGTTCGAGTTTGCGGTGCCAGTACATGTATAGGATCTTCGCCGAGGTACAGACAGCAGATGCTATTGGATGAACTGGCCGACGCCGGTTTCCGCGCGCAGGCACCGCCGCCTTGCGAGCGAGTTGGAAACACTCACAGCTGTCTGTGTGTAAGACCGATTTCGACTTTTTTTACCTCCCCATGGATCACAGCCCCTTGGCACAAACGTCGGAGGTGAAAGCTGAGAGAACTTCAAGTCAAAACTCAGCATTGCCGTTGTGAGGTAATGCTGCAAATTTGGGCTACTGTGGGAAGCTAAGATCGGTGCATTAGCCTCGCAGTTCTTATGCTTTATCGACTCAGGTTTCATCAATTTTACGGAGCCTGCTTTAGCCAATGCCTTCGCGGCAGCGTTCCAAGGCATGCAACTTAGAGGTGCTCGCAATGGTGCTCACAGGTGTCTTAGGGAGAGCTCGGACTTGCTGAGGCAAAAAGATGCGTCGCTTCAACTCACACAAGACCGTCGTTGTATGTGTCTTACTTGCCCCGGTTTGTGTGAAACCTGTATCCCTCCTTCCTGACAGACCTGCCGTGCACACTCAGGTCATGCCTGCGTCAATCCAGGGGTACGAGAGAAACTACAAGCACCTTGGGCTTTCTGCTCCTCGAGATACTGGAAGTTGTACGTTTTCTGCATGGGAAAATAACAGGTACTACTCGTCGACCAGAGTGGCGCAAGCAGAGGAGAGCTTGTGCTCACAGCCGCCTCCCAAACAAGATAAACGACTTGCAGGATCCAGCTTACAGGCCTTTGTTTCTCAAGAACCTTGACATCGACTTGCAGCAGGACAAGCGAGGGTGACAGTTCAAGATGATGGCTTTGAGGATGTCGTGGAGTACTGTCGTGCACGCGGTTTTTTTTTATCACGTACTGGTAGCAGTGTTGAGCAAAAGCCTGGTTCGCTTCAATTTGTCATATCCGAATTCAGGACAGGAAAGGTTCTGGTCGAGGACAGAGCTCTCGCCATCTCCGTCGCCTACAACTTTTCTTGCTTGTCTACGCTGTTTCCTTTTCAGGCAAAGGCTTCGACAAAGGCAAGGGCAAGAAGGGTTCGAAAGACAAGGCTCCAACGATGTTGGCATCATTGGCAGAACAGGCCTTACTTGTAAGACCCAAGACCATAGTCGCTAGCATGTGCCAGGGTGGTGGCAAGGGATCCCAGGATGGCAAAGGAGTGGAGGCTGGGAAGCCCCCCTTGAACAGTGGACTGATTGACTCTTTGTTGCCTCTCGATTATCTATGAGATGCTTTCGACAGCTACCTGGCAACTGCAGATCGGTGCAGGCGTTTTCGCGTTTGGCATTCATGGGTTTGGACGATTCGAACGCTCCGCAGGCCTTTCGAATTGCTCGTGTATACGTTTGCACGGAGGCGCTTTCTCGCATGTGCAGGGCGTGCAGGGCGACTGGACTCCGATGGAGCAGATACCCTGGCAGCCGGGAACCTGTCAGTGGGAGAAGGCTTTCTCTCCGCTTTGTCACGTCCACAACTGAGGCAAGCTCCATACCCAGCGTCAGGATGCAGCGGGCGCAGTGGCTCCACGGTCACCTGCGCTGAGCTCAACTGCAGAGTCTCTGAGACATGTCAATTCCGAAATTGAGATGCTTTCCACCGCTAGCAGTTGGAACACTCCTCGAAGAGCGAGAAGCAAGCATGCCGTCGCGGGACCAGCTCGGAGCGTAGGAGCCAGCATGTGGAGGGGTCTCGCGACAGAAAGTCCAAGGGTCAGCTCGGAAACTGTCCGAGCGGACGGGCGTAGCATGGTATAGGGGATTATAGCGGCATAGCTCCGTTTCCCGAGGTCCCAACTGTGGCAACATGTGCAGCAGCGACCACAGGCTGCTCAACTCTGAGAGCACGAGCTTCTGGCCCTTGCGCCTCGCCTCCGCCTTTGCAGGTTCTGCTCGGCCTGTGGCCATCCGATCTCGGCCAGGACCCCACTGCGTAACTGCTTAAGTTTTGGGCAGCATGCATGCGATTCCCGCACTGAGGCCGGGAAGAACGCAGGATGGGATTGGCCTTTGAAGCTGTTGCAGAACCGTAACACAACTCTGAGCAGGCGGCTCTGCGAATCCTATGCCGTCAATGCCCGCGAAAGGGGGCCCGAGCGCAGGACTGCGACGTCGCATCTAAGCAGCGCTGACTGACTACACACTCTGGCAAGACAGCTCCGTGCATCCACATTGACATGTGACTTCATTCGGCATGCCAAAAACTTTGTCGCACTTCACTCTTGGCGCCACGGGCTACCACGTGCCGCAACAAGAGGACCCCTGATGATGAACGGCATTCCCATGGGTTGTGGCCCTGTCTGGGGCTGCGGGGGCTGCGGGGGCTGCGGCGGCTGCGGCGGCTGCGGCGGCTGCGGCGGGGCATGTGCTGACACGCTTCAGACGTCGGGCTTTGCACCAACTCACGCTATATAGTAATTTAGCGCAACACTCTCGGTGTTGCACATGGTCATGTCGCGCATGGTTGGAGGCCCAGGCGGCTGTGGCGGCTGCGCAGGAGGCTGTGCACCGTGCGGTGGCAACCTTAGCCGGAAGCTCAGCTTGATGAAGCAGCTATCGTTGCACCGGCAACAGGGCTAAGCTGCGAGCCCAGCTCAGGTGCGATGAACATGCGAGCTGACGCTCCGACGTTCATGCCCAACATGCAGGAGGATTCGATTGAACTGGGCTAGACACACCGATTTGGGTTCAAGCCTTTGGATGCGAAGGAGCCTGACAACAGCCCCAATCGGCAAATGCCCTCTGGCTCCCACCAGGTTCCGCTACAAAGGGTCCCAGCTTGCATGCCATAAGATTGCAAGCGCTGGGCAAGAGGGCCGATGTTTTGGAAGTACCTTAGGAAGCTGAAGTTGTTAGACCCTGCCAGCTTGCGGACCCGGTCAGCAACGAGTTGGATGTCATGCGAGGACGCCGGGATCTTACGGACCCATGGATTGTGCGAAGCAGACGCGTTGCCATTGCCGAGGTCTGATGCTGATCGCTGCTCTGAAG